GTCTGTCAGCAGTTTGTCTGTCAGCAGCCTGTCTGTCAGCAGTGTGGTCAGTGTGGATCCCAGTGCAGTGATGTGGACACTGTGCTGTACAAATGGTGCCGTCCTTCGGATGAGACGCATAACCGAGGTCCTGACTCTCTGAGGCCATAAAAGATCCCTGGGCACCTTTCGGAAGAGTAGGGGGGGTACCCCGATGCCCAGGCTAAATTGCCCCCTGTGGCCCTATCAATTGGGCCTCATAATCATCACCTGTATCTAACTGGTGAATTCTCTCCTGCCCCTTCACCACCTACTGTGTGGTGAGCGTACTGGTGCAGAATGGCTGCTGTCACATCATCCAGGTGGGGGCTACACAGTGGTGGGGGTAGAAGAGGCTCCCCATTGGTTCTGTGAAGTGCTTTGGGTGTCTCGAAAAGCGCTATACAAATGCAACTTTTTATGAGTTAGTCACCCTCTTATGATCAGGGGTAATACAGACCCTGTGACTGCCAAATTTTCAAAACAAGTTTATTTGAAGGAACTAAAAATAAATTCAAACAATCAAACAATGAAACACAGCAGCCTGGGGAATGAGAGTAGAGAATGACACAAAAGCTGCAAAATAACAAATAACGGAAAGTTACAGAGAACAGTGAGAAGGTAAATATGTGACATATTTCTGTTATGGAAATATATTAATGTTTGGAAAATGTTAAAAATGTATGGTACGAAAAACCTGCTTTGATACCCTTCACAAGATTAAGCATCTTTATTAATAATCTTTATGAATAGCTTAATCATATTCAGCCTTTGTAAAATAAATGAGGTCAGATAAAAACAAACAGTCAGGATGTCTGTCAGTGGTCTGCATTGTGCCCTGATGAACCGGCAGATATCTAACACCTTTATCCTCAAATTTGCCGTCAGTGTCCAGTTCTTACCAGATTCTGATAATACTGAGAACCTCTGCTTTTGTGCTTTACTAGGGGGGGGGGGCAGGGGCGGTCTGGGTGTGAAGCTCCTTACTGCCCCGTCACTGAGTCCTGGCCCCCGGCTTCAGACCTGGGATCAGGCGCAGGGATGGACTGGGTGGGGTCATGGTTGGAGTCGTCATCTGAGTCACTGAACAGCTTCGGCGACAGCGAGCCCGTCTCCCCCGCCGGGTGTGTCCGGCTGTTCTGACTATTCTCAGGCTCCGAGCTCTCGTCCGTCATCACCTGCTCTGCCGTGAAGAAGGCCTCCCACCTGGGCGACTCTCGCTCTGCCCCCTTGGGACCCGCAGGATCCGGAAACTCCTCCTCTTCCTGCTCGTCGTCATCGTCATTAGATTCGGTGCAGTCCATGTAGCTCCCGGGCTGGAGGACGGGTGTCTGGTCCTCCTGCATGTCGGGCTGGCCGCCTACGAAGCGAGGAGCCCCCTCTGGGTCTGGGGCTTCCAGAGGCAGGAGCTGAAACGACTGTGGGAATTTCCTCCTCCAAGGCATAAGCTCTTCATCATCAAACAGCTCGCTGTCACTGTCGGAATCTGAGCGGTGCAGAGAAAGAACCACGTCATCAGGCACATTTAACAGGCAGACTTTACAGTGCCTGGCCAGTGCATCACCTGCAGTACCTTCCACGGTATAGTCCACTCTCGCTCTCTTGAGAATGCCGAGTGGCTTGTAGATAATCCCCGTCCTTCCGGAATATTCACGACACATGGGTTTTAATCTGAAATTAAACACATGCGGCTTAAACTGCATACATGAAACATGGATGATAGGGTAGCCAGTTTGGTGACACATGTCATACTCACATGTCTTTAACTTCCTGTACATTTCTGCCCACAGGGATGACATTTGGGTGGATATTGACAGGGCACAAATGCAAGAGAAAATCAATGAGCTGTAAGAGAAATCAAACCGCGTTCCTGTTATCCCTCTAACTGAGCATCACCCGTAGTAATAACTGTGATTATTTAGAAGAGTAGGATTTGCACATGTATGTAATTTCACTTGTACTGTTCACACCTCCGAATAAGATGAATGAAAGGAAAAACAGGCTCTGTAGGAGCTTCTTCCTGTTCTGGAGACAAATCCTACATCAGCATCCATAGCAGTGGAAACAACACTAGTCAGAGTCAGTGAGGCTGTCAGTTAGGGCCACACCAAACTGCAGGACAGTTACACAGCCAACGAGCAACCGTGAGGGATGCATGGAATTCTGGGAGCACATTTGCCATACTTCACAACAACGCTGGTCCTCCTGGACCTCTCACCAAACCAGATGGTGGAGGGCTTGACGCTGATGATGTGCAGGGGCGTGCCGTCCGGGCCCGTCATCCCACATGGCAGGCGGCTGGTTCTGAAGAACTCTTCATCCTGGCCCGACATGAGGTGGGGGGGCGTGAGCGGGTGGGCAGGAATGTGGGAGCGGAACAGGAGCGGGAACAGGAGCGGGCAGGAGCATGAGTGGGAGGGAGGATAAGCGGGCGCAAGTGGAGTAGGCACAAGTGTAAGTGGGCGGGAGCGTGAGCATGAGTGGGTGGGAGCGTGAGCGGGAGGGAGCGTGAGCATGAGAGGGTGGGAGCGTGAGTAGTTGGGAGCATGAGCGGGAGGGAGCGTGAACAGGAGCGGGCAGGAATATGAGTAGCTGGCAGTGTGAGCAAGAGGAAGCGTGAGCAGAAGCAGACAGGAGCGTAAGTAGCTGGTAACGTGAGTGGGTGGCAGCATAAGCGTCAGTAACCGGGAGCGTGAGCACAAGTGAAGCATGAGCCTGAGCGAACAGGAGAACGAGCGGGACCATGAGTCTGAGCGGGCAGGAGAGCGAGCGGGACCATGAGTCTGAGCGGGCAGGAGAGCGAGCGGGACCATGAGTCTGAGTGAACAGGAGAACGAGCGGGACCATGAGCCTGAGCGGGCAGGAGAGCGAGCGGGACCATGAGTCTGAGCGGGCAGGAGAGCGAGCGGGACCATGAGCCTGAGCGAACAGGAGAACGAGCGGGACCATGAGCCTGAGCGGGCAGGAGAGCGAGCGGGACCATGAGCCTGAGCGGGCAGGAGAGCGAGTAGGATCATGAGCCTGAGCGGGCAGGAGAGCGAGCGGGAGATCCCGGCGAGGCTTGGTACCGTGGGGTGCCTACACGCGTGGATCTGTGTGGCTCGGTTGGTGGTCACGTGACACAGGATATCCGGCATTTTCCTGAACATGTCCAGGTTATTCACATGGACCTAAAGGTTGTTAGTGAGAGATGCAGGAACAGCCAACCTCCATCACTAAATGTGGATGACAGGCACAAATAATTAGAGATGCACCAATTACAATTTTCTTGGCCGATTCTAATTTCTGATTTTTTTTTTTAAGTGTGACCTGCCAATAGTGATTTTTTGCCATTCTGATTTTCTTTCTAAGAAATGTAATTGCCAGCATATACAAATAAAAATCAGCGTTTCTTCAACACAAAATTTTATTTTCATAATGAAAGAGATTGTTAAACTTTACAATTTTCCCCAGACAGCACCAAGTTACAGGAAACAAGTCTCAAAATAAAATGCTCTGTGACTGGAAAGAGGTACAAATAGCAATGAACTGAAAATGAGCTGCTGTACACCCAACTTTATCTGCCATATTTTACTTCACCAAACAAGAGCAGGTGCAACAGATTTAAATAACAAAACAAACATCATTTACTTACATCATTTCCCAGGATGTTTAAAATCACCAGACAACACGACATTGACCTTTTTCTCTTTTTTTACTTGTCTTAAAATAAAAAAGTCCATAGGTTACTTCCAAATAAAACTGAAGTGTACCATTCTCTTTCAAATAATAATAGGTGCGGGGCAATATTATTAATACCAACATTGCATGCTATGCACATACAATTCTTACATTGCTATAGTAAGCTAAATTAAGATCAGGCTTTTTCTTACCTTCATACTGTCCGGACATTGTAGCGCCGGGGTTAAAGTTTCGCTAACATGTTTTTACTCTGTCATAGGAAAAAACTTAACTAGCTTTCTATTTTAACGATTATTCCTTTTCAAGATTATATGTTTGATAAGTTGAAAGTTTACCTCTGATGTTTCACCACATTTTACTTTGGTTTACATGTGTTACAAATGGCAGGCTTTGTGTCGTCTTCACTCACAGTGAAGGACTTCCACGCTAACCACATGTTAGCGTGTACCTGTGAGCGTGTACCTGTGAGCGTGTGCCTGTGAGCGTGTGCCTGTGAGCGTGTGCCTGTGAGCGTGTGCCTGTGAGCATGTATGCCACTCTGAGGCTATTACCTGCGCTGCTTAGCGTATGACATGGGGCGCATGCATAAAACAGTTTGGTATTAGAAACACATGAGACTGACCGGCTGTTCTCCGGTCTGGATTGAGCACACTGAAAATCGGCCGATTCCAGTCCCTGGTCGGTCGACTGGTGCATCTCTACAAAGAACCTCCCTGTGCTCCACATAAGATTGACTGTTTCTCTTGTAGCACAAATGACACACTAACATGTAGCAAAGGAGCCTCTTTTTGTTCATCAAGGCAAAATCACACCAGATTCCACCCCGGGAAGTTTAAGGTAACTGGCAGTCTGTCGGGCCACAGGAACAGCAGACTCACCTGACATCCAAACTCCTCGCTGAGGTGCGTGAACAGGTACTCGTAGCCATAGGCTGCCTTGCAGTTAAGCCAAATCACATGGTAGGTGCTGATAGATATCCATGACCTCACCAACTCCTTAATGCCATCCAAGCAGTCCTCCTAATACAAGAAATAAAGACTCAAAACATCTGGTGATGAATGCCAGAATGGAGAGTAATGTGAGACAGCCCTAGGACAGAGATGAGACCAGATCAGTGATTGAGACGCACCCTGCTTGGTATTTGGAAGTACTTGGGATCACAGAAAGTCGTATCCAGATAAACACTCTGGACGTCTTTCACCCTAGATACACAAATTGTGAGAGTGAGTAGAACGTCCCATAAATGTAGATGATCAGAGAAACCAATGGCACACTTATTCCGGGGCTCGACCTGCTGCCAGAGTGCAGGAACTCCATCCTGGACACCTCGCCCACAGCCAGCCGGAAGTCCCCTGTGTACAGCACCGTGCCTCGGTCGCCCTCTACGAGGAACCTGGGGGCCACAGCAAGCACACATGGTCACACATGGTGCTGTGCCCTAATCCTTGAAGAGAAGTCAAAGTGATATTTCTGTTCTCCTTACATGACGGAGCCGGGGCAATGCCCCGCTGGGAGCAGGGTCACCATGACATCCTCTTTCTGTCGAATCACAGGACACAGAAATCAGCAAGAATCTGCGGATCTGCAGTGGGGAGACCTCATACCTCAGGGCAGGTTCATATGTTCATACTACTACCTCCCCGGAGATCTCATCAACCAGCGAGATCTGAGTCGGACTCTCCAGTTCGAGGGCGACCTGGAACAGAGAGAGATGAGGGGAACCCCCCCCACCGACTCAAGTAGTCAGAAGATGGTAGCTAGCTAGCAGATTAGCAGAACATGCTGCCTTAAAATCTCCTAAATAAAGACTGGAATTATTTAATATTTAGTTAATATTTGGTGTAATGACTGCTTATGGCCAGCAGGGTACCCCCAAACTTCGGGGGCCCCACATGTATGGGGGGGTTTGAGTTTATAAGCATGCTGCTGTATAAAATGACAAACAGTCCCATCCCCATGAGCTGCATACTTACAACGTGTTTCTCCCAGAATACATATTTGGGATTACTCAGCAAAAGTTCCTTAGACACAGGAGAACAGTACAGCTTCACTGTTAAGCTGGAAAACACCAATCTCATTAGTTACATGTGAATGACAGATGGATGACAGTATATTATATTACAACAGCATTAATGGAGAGCCAGTCATCTTCTTAATGTCTAAACAGACATGTGCATTACTTTAATGTTGACTGCAAATAAATACCCAGAAAAAACACTAGTAATTAAGGAGCCACTAGTAAAACAGATGGGACTTACCTAAATTTTAACTTTCTTTTCAGCAAAGGTCCCTTGAGACCCTTCATATGATCTGGAGAAAAGAAATGACAAGACAACCTTTCACTGCGGTTACTTCATAAAAGCGGCGTCCTGGTCCACATCGCGCATAAGACCTACATGGCGCTGATCCATCTTCCAAGGAGACGGAAGATTATTTTAAGACATTTATTTCTACCTTTATGGCAGTGGGATAAAAAATACGCCCTGGCGTGCAGGTTCTCCTTGTCAAAGCGGTCCAGGGAGATGGTGGGGTACTCTCTCATACGGCCCGCGAATGAGCTCATATTGGAGAAGGAGGTTCGCCCGGCAGCGTCAGTTCACTTTCTGCATGCAGACCCGCAACCAGTGTTTGAGACCCCCGCCTGAGAGCGGCGACGCGCATCCTGTGCGCGGAGGCGCGCAAAAATAGACGCTCCGACCGAAAAAATATAGACGCTCCGACTCTGTAAGGTGACTGGTTGAGCAAACGATCACCGCGAAATATAGGCTACCATACCATATAAAATAACTATATTGTCGCAGATCTTTTCCACGTAAAAACGGTAGGCTACTTGTTTCTTCACTACGGAAAAGTTCAGAGACGTAGAGCAAATATTCCGTGAAATATACTGTCTAATCGTTTCAGATAAAAACAACACGTAGGCCTATTTACAAAAAAACTAACTGTAAGGTAAAATGTTTTTGAAAAGTTTGTAAAAGAAAATATGCGATCAGAAGATGGATAGATTTCATATGCCATTTATACGCACGCATATTCATACCAGTAGTGTTCGGTATTTCGTCATGAAAAGTAAACTGTAGCCTACGAAAATACATTAAATTTAAATAAATTATTAATAATAACCTCAGAGGTACTGCAAATATGAAACCCTAAATCAATACAGAATACAAATAAATACCATTATTTATAGAGATAATCAAAGAATATAACTAAATATTGCGCAAACCTCGTGCTTAATACTGTCACGCATTTGTCATGTGACACCAGAAGGGGGTGCTGTAATGAATGAGGCATTTAAGAGTTAAGAAACTTTGACCTACCCTACGTATTCCAAAAGATTTTTTTCTGGCGTTCACAAAGTATTCTTCACCTATAAGATCCGAAGGAATTTGTCATCTCCGATGTCAGAATGTGAGCTGTGTCAGCAAACTGGTGATTACTGAGCCTTCCTGCGAGACCCAGCAAAGTCTGCTGCAGCTACTTGGGTTGGAGATTTAATGTGAAATCACAGGAAAACCCCACGAGCGCTGCTCATATACCAGTCAGCAGATGAGCTTCATGCAAAGCTAGCGATGCAGCAAACTCTCAGTGTATTTAATACAGATATCGAGCGCGGGGGGGCGGCTCAGGTGGGGGTGACCTCCCCTTTAAGGTATAGAGTACTGATGAGGTATCACTGGATAGACACTGGGAAATATCACTCTGAATGTATAACACAGAGATATAGCGGGGGTGGGGGGCTGATGCTGGCAGACCTCCCCTTTAAGGCCACCTCCCTTTAATGCCCGCCGACCTGTGTGGAAGCTGTGAGAAAATCTCACCCAAACCAAAGCAGATCAAATCTCATAACTTTTACCAGCTTTATCGCGGCTCGCTCTACGGCTTTAACTGGTGAGTTTTCGGGCTTTTTCACCTCTATGTCTTTGATCTTCTCGCTATAACTTGGACGGTGGTACTTCAGCTAGTCCGGTAACTAGCTATACGGACAGCTAACTAGTTACATACATTTCAGGTCGAAGTTCTCTGTACCTTAGCTAGACAGACGGCGATAGTATTGCTCAAGTATATGCCGGTTTTCGTCCATCAATATAGTGTATATATAATATATGATTTTGTATGAAATCATACACACATTAAACAAAATGATACTATATACCAGCTTCTTATCTGTCAAACAGGTACCACACGCCTATAATTACTACAATTTTACTACAGTTGTAACTTACTAGCTGGCTTAGCATTAGTTGGCTAAGGTTACACAGCACTGGGCAGTTAGCTCATTATCTGGACTTTTTATTTGGTTAGCGCTAACTAAGCGACGAGCTGACTGTTAAATTTGGATTGGTTGATGGATAACGAGACGAATAATGGATCTGGGCTATGCTGTGAAGCGTTTATCTGCCTGGTTACCTCTAAGTAACTACTCACACCGTGTGAAGCTCTCTGCTCGGTGGCCCCTTGTTATAACTATCCGCACCCTGTGTTAATCTCCCTCTCTGGTTGTCTCTTGTTAACCACCCTCACCCAGTATAAGCCCCGTGTGTGTAAGCACACTGGGTGTGTAGCTGGGGTCCCACTTGGACCTACACACACTGTCCTCTTTCTGCTGTGATTTTTTTTTCCATCCATGCACCCGTGGCACCGTAAGATCAGAGCTCCCATCGCGGCCCAGCTAAGCAGTCTGACCTCGATGCGCTGTGCTACGCTGCTAGCTGCTTGTGTTCCTGCACGGGGGGGATAATCCCTGCTGCCGTGAAGTAGGTGTGCACTTCCGGGGTGTCGCTGCTTGACCCAGTTATCCTCCAGCAGAGCCTGCCATCAGGGACTGCTGCGTAGGGACCCGGCCTTCAGAGACGGACCAGCCCGGACTCTTCCTCCAGCTGCCTTCTGGAACTGCGGCCTCTTCTCTTTTTCTTTTCTATTTTCCAGCACATTCTCCGCTCATTTCGGTTCCTTTTAGCAAACCATACACCACTGCCCTGATTCCCGATGCCTGACGTGACGTCATTTGCTCGTATTGTGGAGTCTGGGTTGTTCATGTGACGCTCACACTCCCAGGACACTGCTCCCCTTCGCCTGCGGAGATGGCTCCTTAATGGCCTGCTTGTTCACGCCGGGCTCTCTGCCCTTCCCAGGCGCTGTTTGGTGGCCCGTGCTGCGCTGTGTCTGACTCGCATTCCTGGTGCTGCTGGGAAGGGCCTCTGGTACGTTTCTGATGCTGGCTTTTCAGATTATCAGGCATCTCTGTGGGTTATGACCCCGCAGGGGGACTCTGCCAGCCGTTATTATAGTTGTTCATATACTTATTCATTATTATGTACATCGTATATCAGGACGAAGGCACCAACTCCAAAATCTTATTTTTACTAAAGATTTGACACTAAAAATAAAACCAGAGGAGTGCTACTGAGTGACCTATTTCTCGCTGTTAAAATTCTTCCTACTTCATTGCTTTGGTCCCCCTCCCCCTTTCAGGAAGCCCATCCTGGAGAGCAGAGCAGTAAGACGTGGCCCCCGCCTTATACCTGGCCCCCTGGTGGCACTTGGAGGAATGCTCTTGGCAGGGAGGGAGGAGTACCAGATGCAGGCCGTTCCCATGACCCAGTACGACTTCTGAGCGGCAGAAGGCCTCTCGTGTGGGACTTGGGGGAAAGAAGCGATGGCCATGGATGACTTCACGACCCGGACGTATGGCACCAGTGGGCTGGACAACAGGCCTCTGTTCGGGGAGACCTCAGCAAGGGTGCGAGTCCTGCCTGCCAGGGGGCTGATTGTTTGTGGTCTACAGGCAGCATTATGCTTGGAGAAAAGGGAAGTCAGTGCCCCTCTGAAAGTGCAATGACAAGTGCAAAAGCTGATGTCTTATGGAACCTGGCTCCCCCTATGCACCCTTCATGAAAATGTCAGCATTTGTCTGAGGCCAGAACGGCTTGGTGGTTTATTCAGTCATTTCCATTTTATTACAGGATCGAATAATCAATTTAGTCATCGGCGGACTCACCTCTTTGCTCGTCATAGTAAGTAAACTGCTGTTACCTGGTACGAACTAGCATAGGTGCTACCTAGTGGTAGGGTGTGAGACATAGGGATATAGCCTTTCCTGAAGTGTCACGAGAGAGGACTGAAATGTTTCTGTTCTATGATGATACCATTTCTCACTGTTTCTTTCTCCAGGTAACAATTATTAGTTCCTTCGTTTTTCCCGTTCCTCCGAAACCTCTGAATATCTTCTTTGCCATCTGTATCATCATGATCTGTGCTTCAGTCTTGGTGCTCGTAAGTGACTCTGGGGCCTTAAACTCATCTGGTTCCATCAGTCTGCTGACCTCTAGCTTCCCTTAGAACCTGACTGAGATTTCTTTTCCTCCCACAGATTTTCTGGTACCGCCAAGGAGACCTGGAACCTAAATTCCGAAATCTAATCTATTACGTTCTGGTGTCCATCGTCACGTTGTGCATCTGTGCAAACCTGTACTTCCACAATGTAGGGAAGTGAATGCCTTATTAAACTGCGACATCAACATCAACAAGAGGGTTTTATCCACTGGGGGCCACTCTACCTTTAATCAAGCATAAAGAATGCCAGCATGTCTATTGGATACAAGATTCACACATGGCCTGTTAATCAGTGATGGTGTTTGGAGATGTGGTTCATGGGGGGGTGTGGTCACAGCGCCCCAGGAGGTGTGTATCACAATCAGCCCAGCCTATCAGGATGTCTGGTTGTCATCCCTCCACTCAAACTGATCAGTCAGTTTCATCCTTGCATGAAATGTGAACCAACGTTGGTCAGCAGGTCTTGGAAATGCCACCTCAATCACACAGTCACCGTGGCTCAGCTGTGATGATCTCAGTGTCACCTCTCATGGCAGAAGCTGTATGAATCTGGCTTTCCATCTTCCTGGTTTAGTTTAGTTTTTATTGTAGCACTTGTATGATTATACAGAGGACGTTTCAGTTCTTTTTTTTCTGTACTGCATATTTCTCAGAATCATTGCACTTTGAGCTTAAGCATTTCCAGCTGGAAGCACCAGGGAGACCAAAATGTATCATTTTTAATTTAAGATTTTACATAATAAACAATCTCATTTCTGCTTTTCATGTGGCTTGGTGTTAATCTCCAGCCATCTGAGCAAGGGTGGCACTTAAGCAGGATGTGCTTGGAGAAAAGGGTCACCCGTCCAGCAAGCCGTTTAACCTTTGGGACACACCAGAGATGGTACGGTGGCCTGGATTCCGTTAGCGGTTAGCTCACATGGACCATTTCTCTGATACTCCTATTTCAGTGTCTAACAAAGCAGCAGGTAAATAAGATCCCCATTCTTTACAAGCATCGTTCTCCCTCACAGGTCATTTGGTAAATGTATCAGGCCATCAACTTGAATGAAGGAAAGAAATTTGACAGCTTTATAAAGTTATATTTAATAAATAACAACAAAAACCATTACAAACAGAAACTGATAAATTAATGAGCTAGGCAAGTCAGACATTTGGAAGTAACTGACAACATCCTGTAACTGGAAAAAAAAAAATTATATAATCAGTGCAAGATTCAGAGAAACCCTGAAAAGAGGAGGCTGGCCGTCCAGCAGGGGACCCATGGATGCAGTGCGTCTCCATAAGACGAAGCTACCGCAAGCCTTGTAACAGACCTCTGTCAGCCGGAGGAGCAGACACTTACAGAGGTGCCCACTCCCCAACGCAGCACATCAGACTTCCCAGAAACCCTGGCTTCAGTTCCGGGCTCCATTGCCAGTCGTGGGCTGTGAGGAAAATGCTTGGTCACCACTGAGAAGACGGCCCACCTTCACCAAATTAGAAGTATCGTGGACGCACAGCACGATAACATGTAATGAAATACATGGAGATGCGTAGTCATGCAGACGGGTGTTTGTGTCAAACGGCTGAACTGATACTTTAATATCAAGAGTACTGAAGGAGGGAAGGTATAGAAAATCCCCAGGATGTCCTGTGATCTCACATCACACAACTGTGGCGTTCATGAAGGAAGCTTCTGGCAGTTGGCCTCAACTGGAAGCTCTTGGTCACCTTGTGGATGAAACCAAGCGAACACCTTCTCCCAGGGGCTGCTGGGAAAATGCCTGTCCTCCAGTGCTGGCACACACTTGTGGGTTCCCAGACGCCTCCTGCTTCACCGGTGACTGGCCTACTCAGATCTTGAAGACGTCCCACCTGGCCACAACTGAGGGTAAAAGCCCAAGGGGAGTGGCCATGATTCAGGAACACTGGGAGCAGGTGGGGCAGCTCTCCCACCAACATCTCCGTTCACATTCTCCCTCCGTCAATCACAACGGGTGTGTCTTTGAAAAGGGCTCACCCCCGCTTCACTACATCAGCGAGAACACCTACATGTACACCAGCTGCCTTCAATTTACTGAGAACTATTTTCTGGTGGATCCAACACAAATCTGCCATTATTTTAGCACAAAGCAGAAATAACACTGATCTAAAGTTCCAGGGAGGAACTCAGCTCACAACCCCAGCTGCCGTCTGATCTCATCTGCCGCCTGCTGAAGCACTGAGACCCGGAAACCTCTCATCCATCCGATTAGTGAGGGGAAGAAACAACAACACCGATAATAAACTGCATGTCCCTGGAAGCTGAGGGTCACACATGAGAGGAAAAGCCACCGGCAAGTGATTCAGGGCCAGTTCTGCGTGTCCTGGTGACCTCACGCCTGCGGCCCCATATCAGTCAGAGCTCTCCCCCTGGTTTTCAAGTATCGGGTCTGAAATGGCAAAGGAAGCTCATGTAAGTCCTTGTGTAACCAGAGAGCAAACACGTCCGGGAAGCGTGGAATGACAGGTCAGACCAGCTTTTCAACAAACAAGTTCAGGTCACCCACGGGGGTCAGCTTATCTCCAAAAAGCTCCCGTGTTAAAAGATAAAATGCCTAAAACAGAGGTGCCCTCGTGGGTGGGTGTCATAAGAAAGGTCTCCCAGCCACCAGGGGGCATCGATCTCACCTGTCAGTGCTGTTAGGGGCAAAACAGAGTCTCCTACGATGTCATCTGCAGCCTGGATAAAGGTGTTGGGTGAGGGCACGATGAGGACTGCGCTGCCCCCTACTGCCCCTTCCACTACCTGCGTTTCCAGAGGCTAAAAAAGCCACACACTGGGTCACATTTAGTCAAAAACAAAACAGAGAAGTAAGATGATCTTGGTGTGTTTCCCACTGGATAACATGACATAGGAGCAGTAAGACAACACTAAAGGCACAGATTAGAGTCATGAAAAGGCAGCCACAGAACCCTAAAAAGCATGTCAGCACGCGGGCCGGCCGGCCTCCCCTCCAACGACCCCTCAAGCACGAACACCCACCTCCGAAGCAAAGGCCGAATCCGCCAGGTGCTCCTGCACTCCTGTGGGCTCCTCGTCCTCCTCCGCCGAGCTCTGCAGGAACTTCTCGCCCCCAGGGCTAGTGGCATGTGTCCTGGGGCTCCTGGCACCCTCGTCTGCTTTGGCCAAGCTCCCGTCTACGTCCTCAGAGGCCTCCAGGGGAGCAGGGGAGGCCAGCTCGTCAGAGGAGACCGTCTGGATGATGACGCCGGGGTTAGCCATCTGCACGGCAACATTGTCGCTGGAACTCAGGAGGCTGTCAGCCTGCGGGTTTGAGAAGAGGAGGTCCTCACAGCATAAGGAGGTCCTCACAGCATAAGGAGGTCCTCACAGCATAAGGAGGTCCTCACAGCATAAGGAGGTCCTCACAGCATAAGCAGCTCCAGGGAGGCTCGGCAGAGCCAGACCTGCAGGGAATTCCAATGGACCTGTATAGTCTTCCCCCTCCTCCCCTCTAGAAGGCGCTGCAGGTCCATCAGAACCTCAGTTTCAAGACAAGACCATGAACTTCAAAGAAACGGCTTCTTCCAGACAGTAATAATAATGCTAAATACACACGGATAACTTGCAATGTAATCCCAGTCACCACTGCCACTGTAACCTTAGCTGTCCTATTGCATATCATGTGTTATTGTATATATAATGGATCCTCAAGTAGAGGAGGTTAAGTATCTCAGGGTCTTATTCACGAGTGAGGGAAGAAGGGAGCGGGGGATCGACAGGCGGATCTGTGCGGCATTGACAGTAATGTGGACGGTGTACTGTTCTGTCATGGTAAAGCGACAGCTGAGCCGGAAGGTATCGATTTACCGGTCGATCTACCTTCCTACCCTCATCTATGGTCATGAGATTTGGGTAGCGACTGAAAGAATGAGATCGCGGATATGAGCAGCAGAAACGAGTCTCTCCTCTGCAGGGTGTCTGGGCTCAGCCTTAGAGATGGGGGGGGGGAGCTCAGACATTCAGGAGGGGCTCAAAGCAGAGTCACTGCTCCTCCGCATCAAAAGGAACCAGTTGAGTTGGTTCAGGCATTTATCTAGGACGCCTTCTGGGGAGGTGTTTCAGACCAACAACCACTCAACACGGACAGCAGCTGTGGGCCCAAAGCAGGCAGGGGAGGCCGTTATTTACCGAGAGGCCATGGACAATGATCTGCTCAGGGGAGGAGGGTGTGGCTGAGGCGGTCAGGGTGACCGTGGAGCTGGCAGAGACTGTCAGCGGCAGGCCTGAGCTCGAGCCTGTCTGGATATAGTATGTCCCTGGGGTTCCTGTCGGCTGCAGATGGAAAGACTGCAGGGAGGGAGAGAGAGAGAAAGAACCCAGACACAGTGAGCAGGATAACACAGCTGTTTGGAAACCAAATTTAAAAAAAAAATAAAATTCTGGTTATAATGCTGTGGTCATGTGATAAGTCATGTGATCATGTGATGGCACAACTCACAGGCAGGATTTCAAAGGCCTGCATGGCTCCTGCGTTTAGTGTTATCGTGTCAGAGTCGTTAGCAGCAAAGGAGGGTTCTGAGGAGGCTTCACAGAAAGACAGCAGCAGAGTCAGTCAAACAAGGCCCACGCAGCGCATAGCCAGGCAAACACAGCAGCGATGACGTCAGCCACCACTCACAGACGTGCGTGATCTGCACCGGGATCTGCACTGGGATCTGCAGCGCCCCCATGGGGCTGGAGGCCGTGGCCCCGCTCTCTTCCAGCCGGGCAACCCTGATCTGGACTTGCTGGAGCTGCCCGGAGGATGGCGAGGTGCTTCCGGCCCGCGGTGACCCCACCACGACCTTGCTGTAGGGCTGCTGGTGCTCAGCCAGGTCTTGTAGGCCCTTCAGAAGCACTGCAGAAGTAACAGGCCAAACTGTGAGGGGCTCTGGTCCATGCGCAGGAGACACGACATTAAAGCCACCAATACACTACAGCGAAACAGCCAATCCACCAGAGGGCAGATACTCACAAAACGACACACCGCGGCAATTCAGGGAGCATATTAGCCTCAAGACCCTTCTGCTCCAGGAATAGCTCCTCTAACCTAACATTACTCCATGTTCTGCTGATGACTGAATAGCTGTCTTACTAGGATCTCACTTTGGACAGAAGCTAATAAATAAGGTAAGTAGTGAGACGAGTGTGAGGTGGAGAAAGCAAACGACCGACAGACAGACAGACAGACAGACAGAGGGACCAGACAGACGGAGGGAGGGATCCAAACCCCCAGCAGGGTGTGGGGTCCAGCATGTACCGGCCAGGGGCAGCTCCTTGTGGTTGGACACCTGTCTCTTGATAGTCCACCATTTGCTGCGCAGCCACTGGGGGGAGCGCACGCTACTCCACCCCCCCGCCAGCACGTCCCAGTTGATCTCATTCTCATCATTCACCTGTAGCTCCACAATCCTGTGGGGTGACAGGGCTGTCATCCTCAAGCATGGCGCCCCCCCATGCTGAAGAGGTTCATGTCGTCCTCCTTGGTCTCCCCCCCGAAGCACCCAGCCCATTACCTGCCGATGAGGTTCATGTCGTCCTCCTTGGTCCACTCAGTGCCGCCGCTCTGCTTCCAGTTGAGGTAGTTCAGCCACTTGGAGCGGCACTGCTTCTCGGAGCGCGTGCCCACCAGCTCGGCCACCGAGGCCCAGGACACGCCCTGAGTGACGGCGTGGCCCGGCTCCGTCCCGGTCAGCTCGTGTACCACCTCAGCCAGCCTTTGCTCCTCCTCCTCCGTCCACTTCCCTACCGGACG